CCTACTGAATTTAATATTACAGCTGTGTGTTTGTCAGGTTTATTCAATAGGGGCCTTGTAATACGATCTGAATGTTTCCTAGCGGATGTTTCTTTTCCAAAGTAAATCTGAGTTATTAATCCTCCAGCATCATTACTGTGTTGGAATTTATTTTCCCTTCTGTAACATGATCAACAAGGCATGCTCTGTGTTTCCAGGATCGCTGGGGAAATGTTTGGTAACATACTCGAAAGTGGAGAGAGAGAGAGAGAGAGAGGGTGGCCCCTCTTTTTCTTTACAGCCACTTGTAAAGAAAACTGTACACAAAGCCAAGAGGGGGTTTTAAAAGGGGAGCCCGAGGGTGGTGGAGTAAGGGTTGACACATGGAAATTATTAGGCATCTAAAGGAGGCTGGGAGATACTTTCTGTCTTTGGTGCTTGACAAATGCAAGCTAAGTTGCTGGCTTGCTAGCTGCTCCACTTCTCAGCTCCTTCAAATTAAAAGGCACAGCTATTTCCTCCCCTTAGGCTTCCACTATAATCAGAATTCACCCAATTCCACTGTTTTTTTAATTTTTTGTTTTTTGCTTTTCTGTCTCAGAAAAGTTCATGGGCCTTTTCTTTTTCCTTTTCAACTGTGCCTAGAACATCTGGAGAACATCCCAGGAACCAGTGAGAACTCTGCTTTTCGATTCTTCTTCAACCTCAGTAGCATCCCAGAGAATGAGGCGATCTCCTCTGCAGAGCTCCGGCTGTTTCGGGAGCAGGTGGACCAGGGCCCTGACTGGGAATGGGGCTTCCACCGGATAAACATTTATGAGGTCATGAAACCCCCAGCAGAAATAGAGTCTGGACACCTCATCACACGACTACTGGACACCAGATTAGTCCACCACAATGTGACACGGTGGGAAACTTTTGATGTGAGCCCTGCAGTCCTTCGCTGGACCCGGGAAAAGCAGCCCAATTATGGGCTAGCCATTGAGGTGACTCACCTCCACCAGACACGGACCCACCAGGGCCAGCATGTCAGGATTAGCCGATCGTTACCTCAAGGGAGTGGAGATTGGGCCCAGCTCCGGCCCCTCCTGGTCACTTTTGGCCATGATGGCCGGGGCCATACCTTGACCCGCCGCCGGAGGGCCAAGCGTAGTCCCAAGCATCACCCACAGCGGTCCAGGAAGAAGAATAAGAACTGCCGTCGCCATTCACTCTATGTAGACTTCAGTGATGTGGGCTGGAACGACTGGATTGTGGCCCCACCGGGCTACCAGGCCTTCTACTGCCATGGGGACTGTCCCTTTCCACTGGCGGATCACCTCAACTCAACCAACCATGCCATTGTGCAGACCCTGGTCAATTCTGTCAACTCGAGCATTCCCAAGGCCTGTTGTGTCCCCACTGAACTGAGCGCCATCTCCATGCTCTACCTGGATGAGTATGACAAGGTGGTACTGAAAAATTATCAGGAGATGGTGGTAGAGGGCTGTGGGTGCCGCTGAGATCAGGCATCCCTGAGAACACACACACAACACACACACACACACACACACATTCCCATCCAACCACTCACACAGACCACACAGACTGCTTCCTTATAGCTGGACTTTTATCTTAAAAAAAAAAAAAAAGAGAAAAAAACCTAAACATTCACCTTGACCTTATTTATGACTTTACGTGCAAATGTTTTGACCATATTGATCATATATTTTGACAAAATATATTTATAACTACATATTAAAAGAAAATAAAATAAGTCATTATTTTAAAGATAGACTATGGCCTTTTCATCTAATTTCCTGTTCCATTCCTTTCTCTTGAGATGGGGCAGAGGACAGAGCAGAAGTCAGGTGGTCATCAGAGGTGGTTAAATTGTAGTGACAGGAGCAAAGTGATGGAAGAGAGAGATGGCAATTGTCGGGATGAATTGCTGGCCGTTTGTATTTAATGTTACTAGGGATGCAGCATCCGCACCCATCTGGAAGACACATGCCCTGCCAAACAGTGGGATGAAAGGAGTAGGCTGGATGAAAGACTTCAGCTTGGGGTCTCTGGCACAGCTTGGCTTTGCCCACCTGTTGAATGTGTCAGAGCTGCATCCCAGTGTGAGAAAAAGGTCTCAACTCTACAGTGTCCCCCGTCCTGGCAGGCATCTTTGTATTATTGAACCAAATCCATCCACACACTTATGAATGTGGATGTTATGTGTGTGTCTCCTTTCAAATAGGGACTTGTTTTTTAGTCCCTCTCCCTTCCAGATAGGGTCTTGCTATGTAGTCCTGGCTGGACCAGGCTGGCCTCAATCCACCTGCCTCCACCTCCCGAGTGCTGAGATTAAAGCTGTCTTTTTGGGTTTTTTTGAACTGGATTTTATCCAGTACAACAAACAATGGGCCCTGCCATGAAGAAGTTTTGTAAGCACTCATACAAGATGTTGTAGGATTCTCCAGTGCTGAGTGACTGGTTACCTTTGCCCCACATTCCTCACCGGAAGGAAGGCTTTTCGCAGGTTCAGAACCCTAACATTGTGCTATGGAAGGGGACTTGGCAATTGGCTGAGACACTGAAGGGCCAGAGTTTTTAAGTGGGTCCCACAAAAGTGTTACGAGTCTGCTGAGTCATGAATCTCTTGACTTCTGTTTTTCCACTGTCTCCTCTACCACCCTCCGGAACAAGACAGAATATGATCTGTCCAGTGGACCTGAAATTTGCAGAAGGGGTTCTTCAAGGAGAAAACACTAATTTGGTGGCACAGTGAAAAGAATGATCTTAGCTGGAGCTCCGTGGGCAGAGGGCTTGCATTGGCATGATTCCAGGCTTGAGGCAGGGCGTGGTGGTGGAGGTGATGAGCTGTAATCTTAGCTCTCCCAGAGGATCAGACGTTTCAGGTCAGGCTCAGTTACACAGCAAGGTTTCTGACCAGTCTGGGTCAGGAAGACATAAGACCTTGTCTTTAAACAAAAGGGATGTGGGGGGAAATGGAGGTGTGCTTAGAGGTGGGAGACTCTTTCAGCTAAGGATAAGGACAGGAAGAAGCAAAGGGGAAGAAGGGACAAACCTTGGTCTTTCCTCATTCCTCATCTCATTAAGTCCTGGTCTTCTGAGGCTCTGGCAGGCTTGACTGGATTTGGGGTAGAAGCAGTGGGGGGGTCTTTATCCTCTGGGAAGGGCCAGGCGAAGTGCCTGTCTGCATTTGCCTCTGAAGGTGAAGTCTGGATGGTGTCCAGCACACAGCACAGGGACAGTTTCCTTTCTCTGTGTCACGTGTGCACATCCCTGAATTCTTTCACACATAGCGTTGCCTATGCTCCTGGGAGTCCAGTGGATAAAGCAGGACTCATTTTTGTTTTTAATTACTGAAGCTCTACAGTCCTGCAGAAGGAGCAGCTTAGTGGGAACCAATATAAATAGCAGTGGGGTGGTTGCCAAAGCCCCAGCTCCCTGGAGAGCACAGGTGGAGAGAGGAGGTCAGAGCCCCGGGCAAAGGCAACCAGACTCCCAACTCCTTCCTAGCAGGTTTCTTTCCCATTGCTCCAGCCTCACTGGCCACTGCCCTTAGATGAGAAGTACCGGGCCTGAACCAAGCATTTGAGGGAAGTCCATTGTGGGTTCTCCTTTGGGAGACCTCATTTTGCTTTGCCTGGTCTTCAGCAACTGTCTGAGAAGTCTGGATCATTGAAAGAAAGACCAGGATCTTCAGTTCCAATGGCCCTCCCCTGGTGTCTGTGGAGTTCAGGTTATATTCAAGGAAGCTCTCCCCACCCCCAGCCCTTCCACTGGCTTATTTTCAGGAATGGATAATGTTGTTTATTTGTTCAGCCAAATATTTGGTCTGGGGAATTTACCGTGAAATTCTGTGAATTGCATATACCTAGTTAACAAAATAGTCCAAGTGCCATAAGTCAGCATGGAAAACAAGGCGCCATGATGGCTTTAACCCTTCAGACTCCTGCTTGAAACCCTGTGCTAAGAAGGCATAGGAGGTTGGATTTGATTGTGAGGAGAGTCCCTAAATTAGGTTTTGCTTTAGACTAGGCCCAGGACCTTATAAGGGTTTGGATCTAGAGTGGCATCTCCCCTTTTATAGGTCCCTACCCCCGGAGAGTTGATTCCATGACTTGAAGAATGGGAGGAAGAATCGCCCTCGAGGAGTTCAGCAGAGTCTTAACCACATTAGAAGAGCTGCTGACTCGATCCCTGCCCACCCTTATACTGGAACCGGCTTCCTTGGAACTCGTGTGTGTGTGTGTGTGGGGGGGGGGGACGTTTGTGGGGGGGACTTTCGTTGCGTAATTCGCTTAGAACCTGCCAGGTGACCAGCTGACTTTGTTTTCTGTCGTGACGGTGCTTCTTTCCACAGTCCCCTTTGCCCTGGGGCAGCGTCACACTGTGAGGGCCCCCCGCGCGGCCCCGAAGCTGGCAGACCCCGCTTGTCATCCCAGGCTTTGGAGGAACTTCAAGATCCGGCCCCTGAGGCCTCCTCCCTCCAGCTCCTGCTGCAGACCGCCCGCAGCTGGGGCACCAGGGGGCGTCCTTACCCCCGGCCCCACCCCGCCTCGCCCCGCCCTGCGCGAGCGTGCACCTGGTGGCACCACCCCTAGTCCGGACTGAGGTTTCTGGTCCCCCAATTCCAGCCCACCGCGCTTCTGGCTCTTCCAACGCCGCGCCGCAGCCTAGGTGAAGCTTGCAAGGACAGGCGGTTCTGATTAGCGCACGCAGGTCCTTAGGGCGACTGCTTGGCATATTTAACGTGAAATGGGGTCACTCGGCCGCGTAGAGGCGCGGAGTCTGGGGATCGGAAAAGGGGAGGAGACTCAGTATGTGGAGGGATGGGAAGGGTTTGAGATCTTTAAGGGATTTCAGTGGAGCAGAGAGCAGGAATTGGAAGTGAGCTCTTGACATAGGATTCACGATAGCTGAAAACACTACAGGGACTTATAGGGACCTGCATGGCCTTGGGAACAAACCTAATAGCTGAGGATCCCTTGTAGCCGGCCCCTGAAGCTGGCCTCACTCAGCCTCTTGAGGCCATACAGAACTTCGGGTCCTGGCTGAACTTCCTGGAGAGCCTGACTTTTCTCTTCATCAATGTACCTGGTGAGAAGGGAAAAAATGAAGGCTTAGGGTGTGTAATAGTTCAGTGGATCGATTTCCTTCCCGCCAACTCCATCATGAGTGATGCCCGAACTTCCGCTGATGGCCTCTAGAAGCCGCGGTACCAGCCGGCTTTCCTCTCCAAAGGTGAGCCTGGGAAAGGAGAAGAAAGCTCACGCTGAGGCCCAGGTGTGCAAACAAACAATATTTGTTCTCAATGATCTTCTGCCTCTACCCAGCACAAATCTTACACTCTGCACACATTCTCTTTCAGAGTGAAAGAAATAAAGCCACCGCAACAAAAATGACCCAGCCTTAGAAGGCCGTCGGCACGTCCCAGAGGAACCCAGGATGACTCGTGGGAACGCCTAATTAGAACTGATGTACAGTATGTGTGTACAGTATGAGGGTTACCACGTGGTGCGAACTGGCACAATTCAGAAAATCACAGCTAGAGATGAACTCTAGGTTAAGAAGAGCCCAGGTCTGAGTGGGAGGGTCCCGTTCACCTGTGCGCTCAGCATCTCCTGACCAGTGACTGAGCAAGCCTTCATGTCTGTGACTCTTACCGCTGGGAAAAGTGCCTGGCTTTAGAAAAGATGTTTGAGGGGCCCTACGGTGACAAGAACTCAACATCTATGGATAAAAGCCGTGAGATGTCAGAAGTTTAAGATGTGCAGTGTTTAACCAAATCTTGAAAGAGAAGCGAACCTCCCATCAGCTGTTAGCTGTCCGGAAGATGGTGAGCGTCCTTGTGTATCTTAAAGCTCTATGGAAGTTTCCTTTTACCTTTGCCTTTTCGTCCTTCAAAATACCCCTTGAAAATGCTGACTGGGAATCCACATGCTGTGTAGTAGGCTGCTCAGATCGAAGCATCCAGAAAATATAAGGTTATTCAATCCAGCAATGTTTACCTCTAAAATGTAAAAAGAAAAAAAAAAGGAGATTGTTTGGTGAGGAAAGGGGAGACAGGATGAGCAGCGATCTGCTGAGGTGTTGCTGTGTTGCTAGCGAGAGTCTCTCAAACCTCGTTTTCAGTGAGTCTCTCCAGTTTCAATTTACATAACCTGATTTCTACCTAAAGCATTTAAGACAATGAAGTCCCTCTGTCCCAAACCCTTGAACTCCTAAGCCAAGGTCCTTTAGCAACATTTTGGGATAATTTTACTATAAATTTAGTGTGTGCCCCCCCCCGCCAGTTTTATTAATGATGCATTGGTCAACACATGGTTTTCTGAAGGGCTTAAGCCCTCCTTCCTAATGCTTCCCCGGAGTCATTTCTCGCCCCTCAAGGTAGCAGCTACTGACGTCCTGTTCACAGCTTCCTAGGTTCAGCAGAGAACAGCAATGTGTTCAGCTCAAGCTTCATGCCGAATTAATCTTTTAATCCTTGTCACTTGAATTTCAAAGCAGTTTGTTCAGTAGAAAGGCCTGAGGGAAGGGTCCAAACACAGGTTTGGGGGGAGGTGAGAGGAGACTTTCCAAGCTGACTTCTTACTTCAATTTTATATTAGTTGTTATGGGAAAATTATTGAATGTTCTTTTTTTCCTTTCTTTCTTTCTTTCTTTCTTTCTTTCTTTCTTTCTTTCTTTCTTTCTTTTTTCTTTCTTTTTTTTTTTTTTTTTTTTTTAGCAGCACTTTAAAANTTTTTTTTTTTGAGACAGGGTTTCTTTGTAACTTTGGACTCTGTCCTGGAACTAGCTCCTGTAGACCAGGTTGGCCTTGAACTCACAGAGACCTGCCTGCCTCTGCCTCTCAGGCGCTGGGATTGGGGCTGGAGAGATGGCTCAGCTGTTGAGGGCTAGGTTCACACCAAAAATATTAAATGCTCTTTTTAAGGACAGCAGCGGCTACAGTCAACATTCTACCCAGTACCCTTGAATTCAGCTATAATCCAGAAGTAAGAAAATGCATCTCCTCTGGAAACTGCCTTATAATGTCCTTTATTACGAAGGCTATGAAGGCTATGAAGCTTAAAGCGTTCACCCCAGAAGCCTCAGATTGAATGAAGCACATAATGGATGGGTCAGCCTGCCGTTGTTCCTCAGTCCAGGTGGTCGCTTGCCACTGTCTTGTTCTGCCTTTTTTGTTTCTAGTCTTTATTTAAAAATGATACTTTAGAAAACTTGATGAGAAAGCAAATTTCCTTAAAGCAACTATTTTGGCTTTCTGGTCTCCTCTTTTTGTCTGTATGTTCCCATGTTTTCTGTGCGGTGTTTATTTTGTTTTTCTGCATTTCTGATCAGGGTTATAACCTTTACATATTTTAAATCCAACTGTGTGGTTGGCACCAGTGTTAATGTGGGTAATCTCTGCTCCTTTGTGAGTGTAGAATTTAATTTCTAAACTTTGGCATTTTTAAAGCATCCCAACATCCTATTAGGGCCGTGTGCATCATCTCCAAATCTTAATAAAATTCCTACTGACTTCTCAAGGCTTAGCTTGTTCACTGTGTGTCTGGTAATTAAATGTTCTTTTGTGTTTTAAGTATCCCGAAAAGTGGGCCTATGAGGTTCAGGTGTTTTTCCTGGCCGGTTTTGTATCCACGTGATTTGATCTGCATCATGCAGTCTCTCTCTGAACCAAGTCCACCATTGCCTGAGAGGAAGACACACACTAAAGAGTCTGTCTCAAGCAGTGGTCACCAACCTCACCCTCATCCTTTCTGTTCTTGACTTCCCTTGAGGGTGGGGACAAAGGGAGCCAGAGTCATAGAAATGCAGTAATTACCAACTTGCAACTTACTCAACTGGGAAGGCTCTTAGGTTCAGTGACCTTGACAATGTCAACTTTCAGATTCCGGTTGGTTGGGGTCAGACACCAAGGCTCAGCGGCTGACTGCTTTCCACCAGCTTCTTTTGTGTGCCTTTATAAGGGCACACAAAAGATGTTTTCCCAATGGGACTCCCTCTTTATGAGGCCTGACCCTCACAGAAGCAAGCTAATCTCAGGTGACTGAGGTTAGAGCATTAAGATGACTTGCCTCAAAGGGTGAAATCATTTGTTCAATGGTACCTCAGAAGAGTTCATTTACCTTCAAAAGGTAAGCTCTTTTCATTAAATCCCCCCTCTGCTTCCCCTCAGACCAGACTTGTTTGCAAAGGGAAGCATTCCATTTAGCTGGAAAGCGGGCAGTGGGGCTGTTAGCAGCCACAGTTGCTTTTCCCAGTTTTTCAAAAATTAGCAGTGTAGTAAATGGGCTTCATCAAACTTTTCACTCCCCTAACACCCTCCCCCCACTCCTCCCAAGACCCCTCAGGCTCCTTAGCTTTTCAGGATGCAAGAGCTGTAGGATTTAGCATCTAGCTGTTAAGAGGAGAGTTTTGCTAACATGGTTTATTTTGGCAAGGTGTGTAGCCTTGCAGGTGAGCCTGGGAAACAAACGGGGGACTTCACCAGCGCCCTCTTCCTTTCTACCCACTTGTGATTTGATTTAATAACCCAATAGACCAGGAGGGAGCTTTTCACTGCTTGGTGCCACTTCGTATGGGAAGGGGTGAGGTTTATCTTGATGGTCTGCTAGCCATTTGGCTATCCTGCTTATTCTAGTAGAACACTCCTCCACCGCTCCAGTCCTGGTCTCTGGGGTCCTACGCTCACCGTAGGCTAGTGCTCATTTGCTTGGCGCTTAGCAAGTCTCCAGAAATAGCTCATAACTATATCATTAAATGTGTCCCACCTTAGAGACCCCAAAGCTTGATTAAATGGTGCTCTTCAACCATCTAGAAGACTGAACACTCCTGGAGTCTAGTAGGTGTGGGGTTTTACTGGTAGACCTTTGAATGTCTGTTCTTTCCAACCTGGGAGCTTAGTCATGGAAATCGGAAGGAAAATCCAAACCTTTAATAAGTTCTGTAGACAAGAAGGAGCAACCAGGGCTGGAGAGATGGCTCAGTGGTTAAGAGCATTGCCTGCTCTTCCAAAGGTCCTGAGTTCAATTCCCAGCAACCACATGGTGGCTCACAACCATCTGTAATGAGGTCTGGCGCCCTCTTCTGGCCTGCAGGCATATACACAGACAGAATATTGTATACATAATAAATAAATAAATAATTAAAAAAATGTTTAATAAAAAAAAAAAAAAGAAGGAGCAACTGCAAAAACAGGAGACTGTTAACCTTTGGAGCATCTGTGCAAGAATCTGCTTCCAGCAATGTCACGTAAAATCTCTAGTGTTAGATGACCGGCCGGGCTTAGTGACATGAAGAAAAGAAAACTGAAAAAAAAAAATGCTGGAGGAGAATGCCAAGCAGGTAAAGTGGCTGCTGCTGGTGCTTGGTGGAGGGGGCTTCCCTGCACGATTTGATCCAGGAGAGAGGACTTGACAGTTGGAGCAGGCAGAGTCTCCAGGAACTACTGCTTTCCCTAAAGGAGTTCATGAAGAGCCCGAGTTCCAGTTGGGTGTTTGACCCGATCTGAAACTTTAACAGATATATAATATTTTTATATATAAGAGTGATTGAATATCTGTGGTGTAATGTTGAGATTTCCCTCTCTCCCTCTCTCCCTCCCTCCTTCCCTCCCTCCTTCCCTCCCTCCCTCCCTCCTTTCTTTTCTCTCTTCCTTCTTTCCAAGTGGATTTGGAATGAATAGAAATGTGGCTATTGCTAGGGAAAAAAAAAGCTTTCATAAATGAAAATGAATGCTCCCTACATTAATTTAATGGGACACTAATTAAAATCTTAAAATATTTCACAGAGCATGAAAGATGCTCACAGAGGCCAACAAAGTGAGGAGGAACAGACTGACCTTAGATGACATAAACTTGTAATTAAAGGCATCTTTGCTGTTGAAGCTGGAGAGATGAACGCATCAGTGCAGAAGCAGAGAGCTGGGAGGTGGAAGGTGTTTTAGTACATCAACAGACAAGCTAGAAGAAAACCACAGCCCAGGAGCTACTAAGACGTGCTATTTGGTCAACGTGTTCTATGTAGATATTCATGTTACACTAAACTCAAGAAGTGTCTGAACAGACTAAAGAAGATCAGTTGGAAATCACATTTGGGGCCATGGATAGGTTGAATTTCCTAGTATCCATCCATTCAGCCTTGTTAGAGAGGTAAAGAGCTAGGCAGCATATGTAAATGTTTAAAATGTGTAGTGAAATATAATGAGAGCAATACACCCAAAAAGACAAAATCCAAAGTCCAAAATATGATAAAACGAACCAATATTGACCATAACATGAGCACATTGCAGTCACAGTGAGGAAGGCTTTGTTGTCAAGGTAACCAAAGAGATGCTTTAGAGCAGAGGGTGGCCAAGGTCTGCAAAGCCCAGGTATCTCTGGCTTTGTAGACTGAAGGTCTTAGTCTGACCTAACTGTTCGCCTCTGTGATGAAAGCAGAAAAGCAGTCACAGAACAGCGAATGAGTGCTCATGGCTTCATCTCACTAGTTAGGAAACATGGAAATGTGAATTTTAGGCACTTTTGCATTTCATGAAGTGGTCCTCCTGATTTTTAAAAACTCTTTTAACTTCCTAGCCCATGGGCTGCATGGTGGTAGACCCCTAGCACCATAAAAAAAAAGACAAACCAATCAACCGAATGAACACATGATGGGTTGGGTTTGAAAACAACTTGTTCCTTGAAATAGTAGTCTCAAAAACTCCGGGAAAAAAGATGCATGGTACATGCTTGGAAAATCCTGAAATCTGCATTACCTGTCTACACATTTACAATTAAACACCGCATTTCCAAGGCTTTGAGAAGTCCTAGAGTGAGAACCCAGTATAAACTGCTCAGCCTAGGCACACCTGTCTTAGTTGGGGTTTCTATTGCTGTGAAGAGACTCCATGATCTTGACAAGTCTTATAAAGGAAAAACATCTAATTGGGTAGCGTACATTTCCAGTGGTCTATTATCCTCATGGTGCAACATGGTGGTGTGCAGACAGACACAGTGCTGGAAAAGGAGCTGAGTGTCCTACATCTTGACTTGCAGGCAACAGGAAGTGATCTGTCTCACTGGGTGTGGCCTGACCACTTATGAGACCTCAAAACCTGCCTCCACAGCACCCACTTCCTCCAACAAGACCACACCAAATCCAACCAGACCACACTTCCTAACATTGACACTCCCTTTGGGGGCTATTTTCTTTTGAACCACCGCAACACCTTAACTCATTTATCCCCAGAACCCCTTTTGTTCTTCAAATTTTCAATTCTACAAGGCCAGTGAAGTCTGGCTAATCGCCGTCTCTCTGAGAGGATCCGATGCCACTGTTCTCATGTCCAGCTGCACACCAGTAACATAGGCTTTTGGTTGGTTTTGCACCCACCGTATGGATGTGTTCATATCTTGGGTATTCATGTCTGCTAAAAGATTCCTTTACAAGATCTTCCCAAAGCTCTACCCCACCTTGTTAATCAATTTTCAGGAACTGTTTATTCCTAAAGAAAGTTTCCTCTGATGTTTTTTTCTGAAACTGCTTCTCACTACCTACAGGCCCAACTGTGTATTCATAGTCTTGTTCATCGAATGTTAGGGACCAGGACGTGGCCCAGTTGGGTTGCACAAGCGTGAGAGTCTGTGTTTGAATCTGTGTGCTTGCATGGAAAAGGGGCATGTTTGTCATCTCAGCACTGAAGAGGCAGACAGGAGGATACCTGGGTCTTGCTGGTGAGCCAGTAAGAAAAGTTGGTGAGATCCAGGTTTGGCAAAAGACCCTGTCCCAAAAATTAAGGCAGAGAGCAATAGCTGATGTAGGCCTCTGGCCCGTGCACTCACATAAATACACATGCATGCACACTCACAGATATCATAACACTTTCTCTTCAACTCAGCATATGAATATGAATACATTTAATCTCTTCTTTGCAATGAAGTTGACAATGCTTTCAGCTTTGCTACAATAGCCTGTCTTTCAAAGAACCTGCTACAGAAAAAAATGAATATAATTTAGTTCAGAGGTGGGGGGAGGAAGGGAGGTGGGAGAAAGAAGATGAGAGAGTATATTATAGACCACATTTTTCATATTTTGGAAATATTGTGTTATGCCAAAGAAAAGAACAAATGTTAAATTATCTAATTATCTCCTGAGAAAACCCCACATGGTGTCACGACCAGTTTAGTAGGCACCACGTGAATTAGTGCTAAGTCTACAGTACAGCTTAAGCAAAGGCTGTGCTATACACTCATGTAACTACACCCTCAGCGGTTGATATTTCAGTAAATGGTTTCATTTATTTGTTTTCTGGAACATAGGCAACTTGAAATGAGAAATATAAAATTGCTCATGTGTTTGGACATCTGAAGAGTAAATTTTTTTTTCTCAAGAAATTGATATCATAGCAAACGATTGAAACCGATTTTGCTGTGCTACTAAAAATGGCCAGAGCAAAATGGGTTAACACCTGGACTTGTGTTTATCAAGCCATGCTA